ACATATCATGACATGTATACGTAATACGAGTACCTTATATTGAACAGATATGAATATATACATATATATATATACACATGGGTATATTGAATAGATATGGACGTGTCTGCGAATCTAAGTCATTCTAAGTCTAGCATCCAATCCGTACAGCCTGCAACTCTGCTTCCATCAGGATTACAGCAGCGTTGCTGGGCTTGCAAAGGTCCTGGCAGCAGATATCGCCACCGTAAAATACGTATAGGTCATGTCTACATCATAATCATCATATATAATACGTATTAATACGTAATGGAATGGAATGGAACGGAATGAACTGTACTTAAGTCAGGAAGTAAGGATGTAAGTGTTTATGTTTATAGGCCAAAATAGTGGCATTATACTGGACGTATTGTTTTCAAGCTGAAAACATATTCGAGTTCGAGTTCCGACATGTCAGGTGGACTGCCCAGTCTTGGTGCGAAAAGAACTCATTGGCGTACTGCATGAACGTCGGAGGCCCTCGGAGCACGTGCCACGCACTCTGCAAGGTGTGACTAACTTTGGAATAGTGGATACTTTGAGAGACGTTACCTCAACCATCTGGATGGATTTGGGTTTCACAAAAAAAGACTACAGTAGACAATGACATCATAGATTTGAAGCTTTACCCTGTTTTTTCAACATGTGGGTTCGTCTGAAAGTAGTGGATTTATATATATATATATATAGTCCCAACATCGGTCCGTTTTGAGGGGTGAAATAGTTTTCTGGAAACCACGATCAACCTGTCAACATGTTGGTTTCCCCTAATTTTTTCAAGTACCCTCTGGTTATTTAACGTAGCCCCTATTAAAAATGGCCCATTTATAGTAGCTTACCTATTAATAGCATGGTGATTTTCCATGGCTATGTTAAATAACCAGATGGGAAATATCATGTAAAATATGGTAAAGTGACCCATTTCCAGCCCATTAACCAGAGGGTACCAAACCATTTTTAAATGACATAGCCCTGGAAAGCCTGGAACGATCCCATCCTGGGCATCCAAAGCCAGGTTTCACACCAGATTCGTTGAAGTCGATGGCCTCGCATCGCGTCTAAATATTTGATATGATTCATCAACATTCATCATAGATACACATAATATATATATATATGTATGTATGTATGTATGTATGTATGTATGTATGTATGTATGTATGTATGTATGTATGTATGTATGTATGTATGTATGTATGTATGTATGTATGTATGTATGTATGTATGTATGTATGTATGTATGTATGTATGTATGTAGTATGTATGTGTGTATGTATGTATGTATGTATGTATGTATGTATGTATGTATGTATGTATGTATGTATGTATGTATGTATGTATGTATGTATGTATGTATGTATGTATGTATGTATGTATGTATGTATGTATGTATGTATGTATGTAGTATGTATGTATGTATGTATGTATGTATGTATGTATGTATGTATGTATGTATGTATGTATGTATGTATGTATGTATGTATGTATGTATGTATGTATGTATGATGATATAGACGTAATATAGACATGTATAATCAATTGACATGAATTTAATCATCTGATCATTCCACATATAGACAAATTATATAGACAACTTATATAATAACATATTATATGGACATACAATATAGACATATTATATAGACATATTATACATATACATGTACTAGGGTACGAGGGTAATATTGGCGAACTGTGATCTTCCAAAGTCAGAGGCTGCTCAATTCGCTCAGTTCCAGACCAAGGCCCGTTCCAACTGCCAACGTTGGGCAGCAATCGACTGAGCGTTGCCGTTGCAGGACTGTATTGCAAGAGGTGCCGAACTGTCTCAAAATTGATCAGCAAAATTCAGGGTGAATCATCATTTTTCATAACTGGTTGGTGGTTTCAACTCCTCTGAAAAATATTAGTCAGTTAGTTCCAAACCAGCAACCAGCATAATGTTTCCCTATGTTAAAAAAAAACTTTTGATCCATTCTGGGCCCCAATCCCCCATCTTCCAGGCCTCTGGAACGGTGCCCAACTGTCGATCTAAGGCCAGGCGTTTCACCATGCCTGGCTCATGGGATACTCCCCAAAAATGGATGTTTGCTCATCACAAAATGATCATTTTGCCATATTTTGCCCGTGATTCGGCACCTCGTAGGGCGTAGCCCCACAAGATACCTGAGCGGAGAGAAAAAAAACTCTTCAATCATCTCGAAGAATGGGTGGTACCTGTGGGGTAGACATACAAAACGATGTGGAAAACGCATGGTAAGGAAATAGTGGGTTTTCCACATCTATCTTAAATATTATAGGAAATACATTCATATTATATGATATTATATGTATTATAATATTCATATTATATAAATTATATAAATACTAGGTTGAATGGCAAGGATTCACCAGAGATGATATTCCGAAGCATCAATTACAGCAATGTCGGCTAGGAAAGACTAATTTCCCTATACATCATCCCCATACTACAGTAAGATGCTGGACGAGTGGGTCCAAGAATTCAGAACGAAAACACTTCGATTCACCAAACATGTTTTTCAGTGAAGACTTGGTTCACCCGTCACAAAAAAACCTCTTCTGTTCTCCACGTTTTGGCCGCTGATGTCGGCACTCCTAAGGTCCAGGCCCACACAATACCTGAGGCCCAAACCGCTGTTCGAATGTCAATGACTTTGTGAAGAAGTGGGAGTCTTACGTGGATGGACTCATTTGCAACAAACAAGTCAATTAAACGAAGAGCATAGCCTCCTCAAAAAAAAACTTGTTGCCTCTGGGGACATGACAAGTGCCATGGTGTAGCCACCTAAACCCTCTCCAAACCAAGACAAACGAAGGTCAACACATGTTTCGCATCATCGACCACCAGAACTGGTGTCCAATCAAAGTGCAACCCGGTCACTGTATGCTGGCTTGCTGCGGTGGAGTTGATATCATGACCCTGAAGCAACACGTCAGAGGTTGCTTATATGGTTGCTTGTTGATTTGCATCCACAGAGTTGAACATGTCATTCTTTTGCATGTCGGGATATGTCGAACCCTGGTACACTTGTGAGTGTTGACCGGGGATGGCGAGAGAATCATGACTTGAGTAGGTCAACCTTTCATGTCAACCTCTAACCAAGGCCAACATCACCGAAGACACAATAGCGCCAAAGAGCTCCAAATGCCAATCCGAATCCTTCCAATCATTTTTTAAATATGTTTTGATGAACATTGCGATCCTCTCAAAGCCCCCAAATCAACTTTTGCTCCCAGCACTTCCATTCCTTCACCATCCACAGTGGCTGGCCCCAACCATGCCAGCATGGCCCATCAAAGGTCTCGTCCTCAATGAGGTGACTCTCATCTCCCCACCTCACACTCGGTGGGGTGGATTGGTGGCTGGGCAATCCGGGACCGTGTTTTGGATGTGAATTGTGGATGGACAATGCAAAGACATGATGGAAACATATGGAAACATCGACTGCACTCAAGAGTTTCTTGGAAACTGCAAAGATCCTCGGAGCAAAGAAGACCTGTTCCTACTTGTCTTGTCAGTAGATTCACCCATGCACCTGTGGAACTTAGGCACAGGTCACACGAATAGCCCAAAGGGAAAACCCAACAACACTCTTCCATTGTACAGTGCGATTCCCTTGAAACATGTTCATTTTATCAAACCATATCAAATTATAAAAATGCAAGTCTGCAGGTTCCATAGTCCATAAGGATCCAGAAGGCATCTTACATTCCTGTGGCAGTGGGATGCTGTTTCCTGTGGTACATCCCCTTGGGGATTACATCGCCGGGAAACGTTGCAGTCACATAGGCATCCAGGATTTTCTGCGTTTCCTCCTCCTTGACCACCTGAATAGTTGTGCTTTGCATGTGGCCCACTGTCTGAAAATGGGATACGCCAATTGAGGGTTGGAGGGTATACCGCGTATTCAGTTTTCAATAACTTCAATGAGAGATATGGCTGGCTGTCCCATGGAGCGAAGAACGTCTCGTGGCTGAATCTGCATCCAAGTTGGATGGTTGCATGAGTGGGTAAAGATACGTCATCAATTGCCAGTTCCATGGAAGACATGCGAATTCGTATCTCTGGCTGAAATTCACAAAGCTGATATAAGAATAGTCCCCGCCTACTATCATATACACTGGCATCGTGGCAACGTCGTTAGAATCCACATATGATATATGTAATATGATACATATGTATGTGTATATATATATATATCATACATACGTATGTATACATATATATATATATACATAAAATATTTTTATGTACACACATATTACGTATAGAAACATACAATATCATACAATCACATATATATATACACATAATAAAATAAAATAAAATAAAATAAAATATAATATAATATAATATAATATAGTATAGTAAAAAATAAAATGACATAAATACTATATGTATATATAACCATACTATTGTCGATCTTTCTCCAAATTAGGCTGCCCGAAGCTGCACAGCCCAATCCACCCACCCTTGGCACATGCCATTGCCTCAGGGTCAATCCCCGCCAGTGCCGCCCGCACCACATCCGTTGGGTGCAGGCCCGGGACGCTGGCCTGACTGGGATCCGCAGGTGAAATCAGAAACACCAGAAGTTGTTGATGTTGAAAGCCTAGAGCCAAACATAGCCACCCTCAAATCCACAAAAGAAATAGGCGGCTTTCAATGGTTGGTCCTTCTCTGACATGTGGGAGCTTTACTGCGCTTCTTCTCCATAAACCATGACTGGTTGAGTTGCGCGAAACGTTTCGGGAAGCCATGGGCGTTAGATAAAGCCATGGGCGTTAGAATCTATATATCATAATGGTTCATGTTGTGGTTCATGTTGCGGTTCCCTGTCAATGATCCCTCAAATAAAGTCTGGGAAACAAGGCTAAAATTGTGGTCAACAAAATGTTTGACTTGCCATCAACTCTTGCCATCAGCACCACCCCTTGCGGCGCAGCCCCGCAGTGCAACCTTTCTCAACGCGAGGCGAAAGGTGACAGGTGGTTGATTTCACCACTGACGATCGGACCGATAGGACATGATCTGCTCCTTAGTCGGACTAGTTGATTGGGATTCTGTACATGTACCGTTAATATAACATAATATAACTATTAATATATACAATTACACTATTACAGTAATTCACCAGTGAAATGTTTGGCCGTTTTGGGATACACTAGTTACCTTCATATCATTGTGACATCGCAGTGAGGTCAAACAATGTCAAACATTTACCAGTTCTACAACTACGAAGTACGGGCCCGTCATTTTAGTGATTTCAATAGGCCGTGAGCACAGTGTGGTTGACACTGGTTGACCACCTCAGCTGATATCGCCGTTCTGAGGAGTGGTCTCCATGCTTCTGAAAGAGCTCCAAGCGTTGTTGACATGTGACCTCTGTGGCAACCGACCAAAGGGTCACCCAAACACAAAATATGGGCATGGATCAAAAGTTGAGGCCGTGAGAACGACAAATGGTCGTTTTTAGTCATCCCATCCCCTATGTAACACCATCAACAAGGGACCCTACAGTAAAATGAATCCAAGACCAAGCCAGGGTTTATGGCTGTTTTTTTCGGGATTTTAAGGGTGATATTCTGATAGGGTGGGATTGGGATGCCAAAGCAATTTGACCCATATCCGACCCATGGACCCATAGCTGATCCCGGCCATAAGTGACTTCCGAGCAGTCGGCATTGCATCTTTCAAGGCACACTTGCCGATAGACATCCACCTGGGCGGGTGCAAGGCAGCAACGAAACGATGCCCATTTCACCTACCTATGTATTGTTCATTGTCCTGCACATTTAATGTGATTTTTGGGGTAATTGCTAGCTACGAGTACTGTTGTACATTGACACAAGGCTGTCATAGATATAGATGTAGATAGTATGGGATGGATATACCCTCTGGTGATTCAAAATAGCTGCAAGTATGGAGAAAACCAGCATTTTTTATAGGTAAATAATCCATAAACAGGCCATGTTTCATGGCTATGTTAAATTACCATACAAAGGGTAGATGACACCCCGGAAATCCACCAGGCTCCCACACATCCAGGGTCACCTCCGATGCACACGTCTCCTGGCCCTGTCATTTCAGTGCATGGATGTGCAATGTGATGCAATGTGTCAATCTTTCCCAGGCTCAATCCTCCATTTATAGTCATTTCTGTCTTCCTATCTGGTCCTATCTTACAAGAAATATCAAGAAATTTAACCCACAAAAATCCCACATATGGCCTGTCCGCATGCGAAGGGTCTCAAAGTGGAGACGGCCGTTCCTTGGCCGCTGCTCTGCCGTCTGAACATGGCAAGTGAATGGGCTACAAAAGAATGCAGCCTTTGAGGGTAACTGAAAACTCAGGTACTATTTTTAGATCATATATATATAATTATATATATATAATTATATATATATATAATTATATATATAATTATATATATATAATTATATATATATAATATATATATGTACACGTCTTACAGTATATAAATTTAAGGATTGATGACTCTCACTCGTATTCTTGCAGGGGACTTGGATCTTTCAAAAGGGGTCAAGAGTTCTGAGCCAAGGCCATAGTTTTGGCCATCTTGGCACTCAGGAAGTCCTTCGGACAATGCGAAGCCAAACACTGAAGATAGTTAGGACACTTGGGGATGAAGGGCACCAAACCAAATTTCTTGATTCATTTCCATTCATTTCCATAATTTTCATTAATTTTCCGATTTAAAGTGTCACTGTCACTTCAGGATTGCTGCAGGGCTGCGTTTTTTGTTGCCAAGTGACTCGAGGGTGTAAAATTGGACACCCTCTGCGAGCAATCCGAACCTTGGATTTCAAGCCATGTGTTTGGGATGCAGGCCCATCATGGCTCTTCAATCTGTTGGGGACATAACTCGCTCTACTGGATGGTCGCTGGATGTCTTTGGGAACTTTCATCAGCAAAACTAGGAATCTCAACAGTCCACCGACTGAAGTGCATGAAAAGATCCGTCTTAGACAGCGATGAATCCCAGCGAAGTGGTGATTTGAAACCCTAAAGAAAGAACCAATTGAATCATTACCGGAATACAGGGTAATATCTGATGAATCATCATATTTTATCATATTTTATCTGGTGATATATTTGAACCATCCGAATTTGACTCATCAGATCTGTTTGTTTGCTCTGAGGTTATTTTTCACTGCCAAGGCCGGCACTACACGTGTCTTTGCACGAAGACAAAAAACATTCGCCAACTTCAGGGGCTCCTCCATTTCACATTGTCATGGGGATTTCCTAAAATAGGGGTACCCCAAAATGGATGGTTTAATAATGGACAATCCATCTATAAATGGATGATTTTGGGGTACCCATATTTCAGGAAATCACCATATTGCATGTGGGTCGAAATGGGGGACTCAAAAATCCATCCGAGTTCCCTACTCGACTTGATCATTTTCAGCCAGTGTGCTGGGTAGATGTTCAATGATTTTCACAGCTCATGATTTCTGGTCACTCCGATCGCCTTTCAGCTTTCGTGCCCAAAGGTCGAAGTATTTGCTCCTGAAACTTCGAGGTGATGGGCATGGAAGGTGCGTTTTGGATGGAAGGCATCTCAAAAAGGGATGCGTACACCAATCATTGAAAATGGCTAATGCATCTGGTTTTCATGCATTTATATTTTTTGGTGGATGTGTGATGACTTAATTTTGTATATATATATACACGTATAATATATATATATACACATACATACATACGTACATACGTACGTATGTATGTATCTATGTATCTATGTATCTATGTATGTATATGTATGTATGCATGTATGTATATGTATGTGTATGTATGTGTATGTATGTGTATGTATGTGTATGTGTGTGTGTATGTATGTGTATGTATATGTATGTATATGTATATGTATGTATATATGTATGTATATATGTATGTACGTGCGTACGTACGTATGTATGTATGTATTTATGTTTTACGTATGTATGGTACGTACGTACGTACACGTACGTATGTATGTATTTATGTTTTGTGTATGTATGCATGTATGTATGTGTACATGTATATGCAAATGTAAATGTAAATGTAAAATGTAAATGTATAATATATAGAGTATGTATATATATAATTATTGTGTATATATATATATAGTATATGTACGTATGTATGTACGTATGCATGTATGCATGCATGTATGTGTTACACATGTATACATGTATGTATATATATATGTATGTACATATATACGTGTATGTATATATATATATATTATAGATATGTATAGATATGTATAGATATGTATGTATATATATATACATGTATTGGAGCTATGACCCATGTCCAGTCCTATCAGCATAGAGCTTCAAGGTCAAGGCCATCGTATCAACCTTTCTGGGTATCAAGCCTCGATGCTGCAGAGGAAATCTGGGCAACAAACACGACAGGAATCCAAACATAATGGCTATGGTGTATCGTTAATAAGGGATGGCCATCCCCAAATTTAATGGGTACATGGTATGCGGTCTATAATAATCTACGTACAGTATACATGTAAATATCATTATATATGTGTGTGTTAAGCTCTTGACCTTGGCAAAAGTAATTGGTACTGTAAGTGTGACAAAACGTCTTGACAGCAATAAAGATTGATATGACACAAACAACAAAAAAACTAGTGGAAGGAAAGTACAGTACCCTCCACAGAGGAGCGAATAGAACTTGCTGTGCAAATGTTAAGGCAAGCTCTCGACATTTCCTGGCTCTTCAAGATGAAAAAAGATGGATAGCGATTCCTTTCGCCTTGGGCCGGCATGAAAACTGGCAGCAAAACTTAGGGACTCGTCATGTTGATTCATTTTGAATATTGAGATTTGAGTCACTTCAAAGGCTTGTGTTTTGGGAGGGCATAAGTGTCTGCACCTGGGAGACCAGGTCCTTGCACATCTAAGCGCTTGGCGAATCACGTGGACATCCAGCCTGGGGAGGGCCTTCCAGGCTGGACAGCGCCACCAGCTGGTTATCTGAGAGTCATGTTACATTGGGCCATGAGTTCTCCATCTTGAAGGGTTGGTTTTCGAATGTTTTCGATGTTTCTTTGTTGCCTCAAGATGGGGAATACCCGGCAATTCGAGTGGTGAATTTCATGATCAGTGTCAATAAAACCTTCATAAACCTTCATAAACCATAGTCATGGCCAAAACATGGTACATGGAAGTTGGCTTATGGTCATCTCATGTCATCTCACCACCCCTACGGCCCTACGAAAATGGGGGGCCGCCCATCTCCGTCCGGAAAAAGAGAGCCGGTGCCTCCTCCAAGGCCGAAATCCAGAAGAAATCGCCTTCCGGAAACTCGCCATCCACAAAGTCATGGCCTGGACGATTTACACATCACCATCAAACAGCCCAACATCAAACCGTCTAACATAGTCCAACTACATCAAATCAAGGATGGTTTTCAAATGTTTTCAATACATCAACGGATTCATTTGAATTGATTTATACTGCCAAAGACAAGATGTTTCTCGCACAATCCTTCAACATGTTCAATTTTCCACCTTTTTGTTAAAGAAAAAAGGAATTTCCTGTGATTTCCTCAACAATTTCCAAGGAACTCAATTTTGGGAGCCGAGGTACCTGCGAAGACACCGCCTACTCGAACTTTGGGCCACCAGGCCTTGGAGGGGGGATATTTCCAACAATGAGCTTCAAATGTATGGCAAATTATGTATGACAAATCATACCATGGATATACATGGAGTATCTGGGTGATGTTTAATAGTTGTTTTATCTTGTTTTTCTATTTTCAAAAATCCGAGAGCCACAAATAGAATTCAGACCAACCAATGGTCCACGTGGGAAGTCCGAGCTCGGACCCTGACGTGGATGTCTGCTACAACACCTTCAAAGTCATGCCGCGCGTCCAAGTACACCTGAGCAGTGTACTGCTTGGGTATGGCTCAAAATATCTCAAAATAATTGGCATATGGGTACTGGTACCATTTAGTCACGTTGATAGGTTTCCCTACTATGGGCTATAATATGCTATAATACTGCCGAATAACCAACTACCCAGAGTACTCTTAATGGATCTTAATGGCTCATTTGGTACCATACCCAGATAGCATCGCCTCAGTTTCACCGGCAGTCGCCTTGTCAGGTGACATCATCGAATTATGAGGGACTTCAACTACTTCAACTCCTCTAGCCTCTGGTAAACTAACATAGCTATAGAAATTCACCATTTTTAATGGGTAAATCAACTATAAATGGCTATTTTCAATAGCTATGTTTGTTTACCAGAGGGTAGTTTGAAGATCCAAATTTGGCACCAGATCTGCCGCCATGAAACAAAGTCCAGATCGCCATCTGGAATTTGACTTGCAGCAATGGCACTCTCCTGCAGCAAGGCTCCAGGATAAGGGAAATCGCGCAACCACATCGCCATCAGCTTGTATTTGAGCAACCATCAGTCTCTGGAATCCAACTAATGATTAGTCTGGTTTAAACAGTTGTTTTTGTTGAAGTGATTTCATCATGTTTCATTCGTCGTTTTGACAATGCTGTCTGGAACATCACAGAGTGTTCCCAGAGCTGAAAAGGCTATCTCGGATGCCAACCATGTGGAGAACTTCGGCATGTCCAGAACCTTAGCAGCCAGACTCAACGATCTCAACGCCGCCACATCCTTCATCGTGTGAACGCTGGCAACACATCACCATGGTATGTTGAGATAGGATGAGATAGGAGATGAGAGGAGTCTGTGAAAGCCTGAAAGATGCCGTGCTACAGAAATTTGAAGAAGCTGAGTTCCAAACGAAGGGACCTGACACAGTTGCGTGCCAAGTTTGCACGTTGCACTCTTGAAACCCATACGGGTACAATCTATATACTTAGAGTATATATTATAAGTTATAAGATATTAATAGGTATCGATAAGTTGCCTACATTTGGGATCATTTGGGACCACTTAGCTCACTTTTTGGTAAGCCGTCACGTCCGCCCAAAACGTTGCAAACATGTCAAAATCGTGTGGACGAGGTGGGAAGTGGTCAGATCCCTGGCCTTTCCAGTCTTTCTTCACATTGGATCCGGTGTTGCCTGCATAGCCACATGGCTCATGTGTGAAGAGCCACGTCACGGTATCTTTCAGGTCAAAATGATGTGTATCAACAAGTACACAAATCATCACAAGAAAAGTAGCAGATCCAGCTGCCAAATTTAAAGCACATCAATATCCAAGACTTAAGACTTTACTTTTGTGTGTGCTCTGTTCAGCCAGCTTCTTGTAGGTCTGAACTCACGATTCAAGGCTTTTTGTCGCTGGACTGCTACAGTAGACCATGGCAAAGAATTCTGACTTTAATAATACTTCGCTATTGACATGGTTGACATTTCATTGGGGTTATCAGTTTTTGGGAATGACATACGTATCGATTTAGTTCCTTTTCACGTTTTTCGGTATCTTTGAGGAGGAACTAATTCCTGCGTTCCATGTTCCTTCCATTGATCCCGAGACTACAACCTGACAGATACACTAGAAACAAAGAGATGAGAAAAGAAGAATAGAGGATCGTAGTAGAGAAGAGAAGAACGACATGACGAGAATCAGAGTCGTGTGCAAACCTATGTTGCCTCTCAGAAGTAGAGAACTAACTCCAAAGCTAAGCCTTGTACCGTTGACATGGAACTGACACTCATTGTAAAATATTGAACCGCGATTTCATAACTAGTGATTAATTCACTCTTGGATCCACCTCTTCCATTCTCAATGAATCCAGGTTGTTCTTCGGGAAATCCAGAAATCCACCGCCCATGGCTTCGCCCCAAGGGCGAAACCGGAAAAATCGCCTCCGTGCGGCGACGCCGTGCACATTGGCAATGTCCACATAGAAGAGGTTCGTGTCAGATCCCTCCTGTCATGGCGAATAAAAAAATGACTGAAGCATGGCATGACCGACCGTGGGCCTTGTGGGCTTGTAACTTGCCAACAAAAAGTTGGGGAACACCCAAGAACTGTAATCCAAGAAAAAAACACTGCATATGCCAATGGATGGAAAGAAACTATACCAAATATGGGATTATCCCTTGCTAACACCTCGGCAGGGTCGCACCTCACCCCAAAGGTCCACAAGCCTCAAACCTTGGTTCACAAGTCTCCAGTTTCGTCGATGGATACTTTTTTGGGTCCAACTTGGGCACGCCCGAAAAATTGGATGGATAGTTATGGATTATCATGGCTTATTATGGATTGCTGAAAATGATCAACATGATCAATTCATCTGCAGCTGCCAAAGTCCACAAATTTTGGCACGAGCCTAGATCCTACCAAGAATGCTGCAACTGCCTTGGAAACATTTGGAAACGACATGTTCTGTGGCAGTCGTCAGTTTCTCAGCTTCCAGCGGTCTCCCTTCCACTTCTCTAAGAAGTTGTGAGCATGAACACCAGCTTGAACACCAACCTGCGAGGTTCGATTTCATTCAAAAAGGCACAGCACAAGTAGCTGCTGGCGGTGCCAACCCATCCCCCAAAAATTAACAAATGTGTAAATCATTGTAAACCCATAGGGGTTCACCCCAGATTTGAAAAACATTCGTGGCATCTACTACCACCAGATTTCACCCAAACACGGCTCAAGACATCTCAAGACTATTGAGCCCGAAAAACAGATGGGTAGATACATGTAGATACATGTAGATACTAAACACATCTAAACACGACCAATTTAAGCGTGTCAGTTGGTACCCACAACTGACCCACCCAAATGGTCAGTTAAGCCTCCACAGCCTCTCGGACCAGGCCCAGGCCTTAGAATCAGGTGGCCATGGTGGGAAAATTGGTGGATTCAATATACCCTCTGGTAATTTAACGTAGCTATGGAAAATCACCATTGTTCATGGGTAAATCCAGTATAAATGGCCATTTTCAATAGCTATGTTAGTTTACCAGAGGGTATTCAATCCGCAATTTTGTGGTGTCAAATGGTCAAATCATGTTGAAAAATCCCCATCTGTGTCCGCCATTTATCCCAAGTTTTGTGGTGATTTGATTTTTTCTGGGTGAAATTCGGTAATTTCACCCAACTCTTTGGAGGGAGTTTTCAGCCGCTGACAATTCAGCAGGAGGGGCAGCTCTGATCGAGAGTCCGGAAAAGCGGTCTGCAAACAGTGCCTGAAGACGTCTGTTTTGCACAGACCCAAGATGACCCAGGCAATGTATGGTAATGTTACGTATCTGATTCTACAATGAGCAACCTGTGAATCGTCAACATGGAATCTACAAACATCTACAACTGCTGGGGCTGTCACCTGCTGTTGGTCTCCGAAGTAGCCTGGTTGGCGCACATCTGCAAGCAAGTATGGACAGCACACAAAGTTTCGAACATCTTCTTGCCTCACCAGCAAGAAATGTGGTCAGCACTGCGCCCCATAGCGGGCGCATCCCAATGACTTGCGGAGATGAAAAACTGCCTTGATGTCAGCTCCAATCTTTTTGCCACTAGATGTCACACGATTGTGGCGACAGGTAGGGTAGGGCAACTGTTTCTTTGATCTAAGTCAAGCTGCGAAAATCTGCAGGCTTCCATTCTTGGACTGTTTGATGGAAGATACGAGCTGGAGCAGAAGAATTGCAGGCCACGCAAGTCCCATCGTCGTGACATGTCATGGATATCCATGGATTACTAACAAATGAAGCAGCTGTTGTGCCACAATCTGCCTTGGAGAGAAAGGAGGCTGGCCAGGCATCAGCTTCCAGCCACGTGCCCGCCTGATATTATGATGGGTATGGGTAAAAAACAGTGGTGCGGGATTCTGGGATGGTATTTTTCGGGAAGATGTTTGTCAGTTTTAGTAGTGAACCCATATGATTTTGTCAAGCCTCAGATGTTATAAGGTTCGAAGGACAGGTGTTGTGTGTGGTTGAAATCTAAAGCCTGGCGGCCGCACGTCGTAGAAAGGCTTACAAACGTACAACAAGAGGTCTGACCGTCTTGTTATCAATGACTCCGTCTTTCTCGCACGCACTGCTTACACTCGAACACAACAAGGAAACGCACTTCCTTCTGAAACCTTCGGAAAAAATGTGTATAGTGTATACCTTCTACTAAAAGGAAACCTGGGAAGAACACATCCAAATGGAAACACCATCTAATTCACAATTTCATACGATTCGGGATTACAAATGATTACCATTAATAGGGCTGCTGGGTATCCATCATTTGCGAGGGTTTGGTCCTGCCGTTTTAAAATGTTCCAACGAAACCCATCTGAAAATGGTTGGGTTTCAACCAGAATGACCCGTCCAGGCTCCCAGGTCAACAGGTCCCAATAAGGGGGTCCAGGGTCGCCTGCGCAGCAGAAATGTAGAGGCACAAGAAAATGGCATCATTGACCTGTCATTGGCCCCACTGCTCCAGGCTAGTGTCCCAGACACCGTCATGCGGCATCATGGCATCGTGGACCCTGACTATGCTAGAGCCGCTAGGATAGTGATACAATTCGAAGATGTTGATTGGGAATGACTTAATTTCACCTGTGATTCACTACAGCTAGCAAGCCTCAACCCCCAGTTCATGCTACCCGACCGCTCGAGCAATCATGCAATTTCTGTCACAGCACAGAGTCCAACCACCACACAAAACATCGCAACATCTCAATCTCTATGAAAATATGAGGCCCCTGTGACAAGGAGCAGCAGGTTTCAATGGAGTGACAGCACCAAAACCATCCTACTGCACATTACACAACAACCAAAATCATCTATCAAATCCTTCAACATGTGAATGACACAGAAGTCGGAAATGGCTAAGTCATATCATAGCACCTGGGGTTTCCAGTTAGTCCCTTAGAATATCATTCCAAATTTGAGGAACTTGCAAGTCTTCGGAGTCGAAAGATTTTCGAACAAAGCGGCTGATTTGACTGGCCATTTGACTCCTGAATTTTGGGACATGAGGGTGTGCCAAGGGAGCGTCATGAGAAAACTGCTTGATTCAAATGGGATGCACCACAGTACCGAGTTTACATTCGGTTGGCAAAGCCTCTGAATTTCTCAGCTGCGTGTGCTGAAATTCACATGTCATGCCATGGATGTGGAATGCAGGTTTCTTGCCATGCTATGGTAGGAACAGCACTGGGGACGTGCAGATTTGAATCGATGGTTGTGGTGCATCAAAGAGTTCAATTACGAACTCACTACGGACTTCTTGCATTCATCTAGCTCAAAAGCTTGCAGTTCTCTGGCCAACTATTATTTTTTGTTGCCGGGCGCTCTTTGAGCTGTTTCTTCAGGAATCTACATCCTTAACTTATACAGTTTTCCATTCATAAACTCCTGCTGTTTCAATAACCCAGTCTGTGGCTTCTCAATGAACCAGCTTTTAGGATTGAAGTATTCTACAGTATAATCTCAATTGCTTTCAGGATTATTTAATTTGCTTCTGCAATCCTTCGCACTCCTGTTTGTTTTGCAATGCTGTATTCTGTACAAGGCGGACTACTCCAAATCATATGAAAAAATATATTTCATAATCCCATTCAAGGATCCTACAATTTACATCGGCGTATATCATGGTATTCATGGTATATCAGGGTTCTACAGGAACTCCACCTTTTATTTTTCTGCCCGGTAGGACTTCCCGGCGCATTGCATCTTTTTTCGCCCGCTGAGCCAAAAAACAGAATTCATCACCGGCTTCTCACAACCCTGCGAGATGCGGAATTCCAACGACCTGTAGCGCTGACACTTCTGGGCGACGAACACGACGACGACCACGACGACAATAACAACTAGTATTGCTATCATTTTTGGCTACTGATTCTTAAATAATATTCATATATGTATTGTTATTCACCAGCCTTATCAATCATTATTGTATTTTGATGTATTTTACTGCAAGGACAATGATGATGATGATGATGATGAAGATGATGGTGCATGTGAAATGCGGCATTTGTCCAACAAGAAAGGACCCAGCAAACGGTTCTGCCCAACCTCAACAGCTCTCGCAACTGCACTTCAGTCCTCAGCCACAGGGGTCTTGGATTTGCATCCAGGTTGAAGCCTGTGAAACGAGCTTTCAACTCCAACACAAACGACGTTGCATGGCCAAGCATGTCTGTAGTAATATGTATTTGAAACCATCCCGGTCAGTAATTTCTTAATTGGTAGCAAGATGTAGCAAGTCTGAGCTCCGCACCCCTCAGGTGGACGGAGGAAGATCAAACCTGGTGGGAATTTCACCCATGATTTATAGTGATTTTATGGTTAAGTATGGTTAAGTATGGTTAAGTATGGTTAAGTATGGTTAAGTATGGTTAAGTATGGTTAAGTATGGTTAAGTATGGTTAAGTATGGTTAAGTATGGTTAAGTATGGTTAAGTATGGAAAAGTATGGTTAAGTATGGTTAAGTATGGTTAAGTATGGTTAAGGATGGTTAAGGATGGTTAAGGATGGTTAAGCATGGTTAAGGATGGTTAAGGATGGTTAAGGATGGTTAAGGATGGTTAAGCATGGTTAAGCATGGTCAAGCATGGTTAAGCATGGTTGAGTATGGTTGAGTATGGTTGAGTATGGTTGAGTATGGTTGAGTATGGTTGAGTATGGTTGAGTATGGTTGAGTATGGTTGAGTATGGTTGAGTATGGTTGAGTATGGTTAAGTATGGTTAAGTATGGTAAAGTATGGTAAAGTATGGTAAAGTATGGTAAAGTATGGTAAACTATGGTTAAGCATGGTTAAGTATGGTTAAGTATGGTTAAGCATGGTTAAGCATGGTTAAGCATGGTTAAGCATGGTTAAGCATGGTTAAGCATGGTTAAGCATGGTTAAGCATGGTTAAGCATGGTTAAGCATGGTTAAGCATGGTTAAGCATGGTTAAGCATGGTTAAGCATGGTTAGCATGGTTGAGCATGGTTGAGCATGGTTGAGCATGGTTGAGCATGGTTGAGCATGGTTGAGCATGGTTGAGCATGGTTGAGCATGGTTGAGCATGGTTGAGCATGGTTGAGCATGGTTGAGCATGGTTGAGCATGGTTGAGTGGTTGAGTATGGTTGAGTATGGTTGAGTATGGTTGAGTATGGTTGAGTATGGTTGAGTATGGTTGAGTATGGTTGAGTATGGTTGAGTATGGTTGAGTATGGTTGAGTATGGTTGAGTATGGAGTATGGTTGAGTATGGTTGAGTAGGTTGAGTATGGTTGAGTATGGTTAAGTATGGTTAAGTATGGTAAAGTATGGTAAAGTATGGTAAAGTATGGTAAAGTATGGTAAACTATGGTTAAGTGTGGTTAAGTACGGTTAAGTATGGTTAAGTATGGTTAAGTATGGTTAAGCATGGTTAAGCATGGTTAAGCATGGTTAAGCATGGTTAAGCATGGTTAAGCATGGTTAAGCATGGTTAAGCATGGTTAAGCATGGTTGAGCATGGTTCAGCATGGTTCAGCATGGTTCAGCATGGTTGAGTATGGTTGAGCATGGTTGAGTATGGTTGAGTATGGTTGAGTATGGTTGAGTATGGTTGAGTATGGTTGAGTATGGTTGAGTATGGTTGAATATGGTTGAGTATGGTTGAGTATGGTTGAGTATGGTTGAGTATGGTTGAGTATGGTTGAGTATGGTTGAGTATGGTTGAGTATGGTTGAGTATGGTTGAGTATGGTTGAGTATGGTTGAGTATGGTTGAGTATGGTTGAGTATGGTAAAGTATGGTAAAGTATGGTAAAGTATGGTAAAGTATGGTAAAGTATGGCTAGGTATGGTTAAGTATGGTTAAGTATGGTTAAGTATGGTTAAGTATGGTTAAGTATGGTTAAGTATGGTTAAGTATGGTTAAGTATGGTTAAGTATGGTTAAGTATGGTTAAGTATGATTAAGTATGGTTAAGTATGGTTAAGTATGGTTAAGTATGGTTAAGTATGGTTAAGTATGGTTAAGTATGGTTAAGTATGGTTAAGTATGGTTAAGTATGGTTAAGTATGGTTAAGTATGGTTAAGTATGGTTAAATATGGTTAACTATGGTTGACTATGGTTGACTATTGAAATCTCCTTTTCTAGTGATTGTTGCTTAAAAAAATAAACCAATGATTTAACAAAGACACATGTTTTTTGTCAACCATCAAACAATGGCAATATATTTGGGTCAATATGGGTCAATCATCATGTACCAGCCGTTGGGTCCGCCTCCAAGGTGATTTTTCATTCGTCATGATTCATAGCCACCCATAGCCACCCATAGGTGGAGATGGACCCATCTCAAAGATATCTCCTTTGTTTTGCGAGTTTGAAACGACATGAAACGACCATGTCCCCAGCATTCCCCAGCTACCCATAGCTACCCTGCCTGATGTTTCCAACGATTCAGTTTCTTGGACCCCAAACTCCGCCACCAGCACATCGTCAAGCTGTAGCAGCCGTAGCCGCTGGTAGAGACCAGCAACTTGATCATCATCCAGGTATGGAAACCACAGAAGGACGCAACTCTGAGGCCACTTCTCATAGAAATGCTGCAAAAGGAAGAGATTCCAGGCCATATATGTCTCATAGGGATCATATGGTGGATCCATTAAGATTAAGCTCCGACTTTCAGACTGCTGATGTGCCAAGTGCCAATAGGAATTCCCCTGCTGCACCGTTGCGGTTGCGGTTGCAAAGGACTGCTGCACATTCTCCTGCCGGTTGGCCAAAAACCAGCAGACTTGGTAGGTACATCATGCCATGTGGATATGGCTCAAAAATGGGGGCATACAGACAAACAGCTAATCACTTTTCATGTATGACTGTTTGACAAACCCAGGAATTAAGGATCAATCTAGAATTTGGCCTCCCATAACTTCCTGATGTCTCTCATTTGGAAGGTTCTCCCTGTTCAAGCCATGTCCTTCAACTGCAGAAACGCCTCCCTGGACATCTCATAAAAGATGGCCTGGTCTTGTGGCCGCAGCCATTGAAGCGCCAGCAGTGGAGAGCCTTGGTACTTCCCAACCAATGGATCAGCGAGCGTGCCAGCTGTGCCAGCTGTGCCAGCCATGGCTGCATGGATGTATGCATGCAAAACGTCACCTCCCAAACTTGGTGGACATGGAGGTGCTATCAATTGCAGGATGCCCCTCTGAGCTGGACCTCCAAGATCATACAACGAAGGCCCTGCGTGAGTGTCGATGCAAGTCACTGGGGAAGGGTCTGAGATGAGCTTCTGCAGCAGCATCAGAAAAACTGAGTGTTTGAAGCAGTCCAGGGTGCTGCCAGCTTGGGAACAATGCTGGTACCTGGCAATGCTGAAGTCGCTGATGCCCATCTGCAGCATTGCCTCCACTAACCTCAAGACATCCTTCCAACGCCCCGACTTGCTGCAGGTGGAAATGGCGGATGCGAAGCAAACGCTGTCAAGTTTCATACCAGAGACCGGCATCTGAAACAACAAGTGGAGTGCCAACTGCCACTGCTGCCCTGTTTCACATGCGGACAGTGCTGCACCACAGGCCACGCTATCTGGGATGATCTTGGCTTCCCCCATTTGGGCCAACAGCGTCAGAGACCTCTGCCACTGGCTGCCCTTTTCGCAAGCACTGAGGATAGCGCTGTAGCTGATGACATTGGGCAACATTACCATAGAGCACATGCTGCCGAAAAAGAAAAGAGCTTGCTGCCACTGGGAGGCACTCTGGCATGCACTGATAGCAGCAGAATAGGTCACCACATTGAGCTGGATTTTGCTGTTGATCATTTGCATGCATAAGCCCAAAGCAACCTTCCATTTTTGGTTGCTTTCACAGGCGCGAACTAAACCACTGCAGGTGAAAGCATCAGGCTGTTTGGGCTCTTCCGTTTGAGTCATGGCAGCAAAAACTTCGAACGCCTCTTCCCAATTGCTACGAACACACGAGCTGAGTGCAGTGTTGAAGCTAATTAAATCCCTCGATCCTGGTATCTCTCCTTTCCAAAGGGCCCCCAGTGCAGTTTTCCAACACGCTGTTTTCTCGCAGGCGCTGAGAATGGCGTTGCGACTGATGGTGTTTGGTGAGCACCCTTGCTGCCTCATTGAAGACAAAAGCCAAAGACCAAATTTCCACTGCTTTCCTTTGCCAACTGCGTTGATGGCAGCGTTGTACACTATCACGTTTGCTTCCAGTCCCTGCCTCGCAGGTGGACTGGTATGCACACGTGGACAGGATGAACATGTGGGGTCTCCCCACTTTGAGTCCAAGCCCTCCCTTCTTCAATTTCACCGGAGGGATCAGACCAAGTCTGCACATGCTCAAAGGTGACATTGACATGTACTACAACATTATATATATATATAATTATATATATATACACGTATATTACATAATTACACCCATGCCCAAAATACTGGAACACCTACGTCTGAAAGACATATAGTGGTTGCCAAAGGGTTCAACCCAACAAAAGAAATGTATAGAAATGTGATGTACCGTCTCCCATGAACAATGCATGTTAATGTTGATGGTAAATACCTCGTTTCTCAGATTTACCGGGCTTGGATTCCAGACTTTGAGACAACCCCAAATGGTTAGTTACAGGATATAAGTTAATTATGACCGTATAGCCGTATAGCCCCTTACTCATCTTACTATATCTTACTCAGATATGTTGGAATACGTTTGAACCCCATGGGCATAGCGGCATTCGACTCTTTCAATGTGCAAAAGGGTTCATGTACATGACTGTGACATGCTGGACAGGTGAAGTATCTGTTCTTATCAGTGTGCACCACAACTCAACTAGCTTGACTGCTAGGCTCTTTTAGGATCAAAAGGCGCGCTGCTCTGCCTTGCACAGGTTATGAGCCCAACGCTCAGCTGAAGGGGCGTTTGCCATGTCGTGGTCTAGAGCGAGTTCGGTGCCAACTGGTAGAGGTGGACCTCGAGGTCTACGGCTGGATCAAGAAGGCCAACCAGGGCATGGAGGTGAACGAGCTGGACATGACGGCAGAGACCTTCGGCATGGAGATGGAAGAGCTCTACCAAATGGCAGTGATGGACGAGATGAAGGTCGAGCTCTACTACGAGGCGAACATGGAGGGGCTCTACGGCAAGAACTGGATGTGAGCACTGACCTGTTGGACTTAGGCACCGAGCCGAATCCGTGGTGGTCAGCAGGGGTTCAGCAAGAACACCTACGAGAAGCACGTCGGTTGGCCATGGAGCAGCCGATGTGGACGCCAAGGGAAGAGGTCTCAGTCAAGGAGGACCTTCCGGAGATAGAAGATGCAGACGCGTCGCGAGAGTTGGAGCCGCTAGCAATGGGACGAATGAGTGCTCCGTCAAGTTGGAGTACAAGACGAGGTGTGGCCTTGCAGACTCAAGGGGCTATGCCATCAAATGATGATGAAGACCTTCGGTATCCTCAAGATGCTGGACAAGGTCAACATGCAGGACACCCTCAAGGTGTCGATCAATTTGCACACTCTCAAGGTGTGGACCTTCGGTATCCTCAAGATGCTGGACAAGGTCAACGTGCTGGACACCCTCAAGGTGTCGAACAATGTGGACACCCTCAAGGTGTTAGACGTGATGGGCACCCTCAAGGTGTCGAGCAAGTTAGGCACCCTCAAGGTGTCGATCAAGTTAGGCACCCTCAAGGTGTCGATCAAGATGAACACCCTCAAGGTGTTGAACAAGTTGGGCACCATCGAGGTGTCGCAGCAGGGCTACTTGCTGGAGAAGTGCAACGTTCTGGCAAGGGGCATGGTCAAGGAAGAGTGGTGCGGCCCAATGGGATGGGAGGTGAGATACCATCTCATGGGGTTGCAAGACAAGGTGGGAAGACTGGAGGACTGGGAGGTGAGATACCAGTTCAAAGGTCTGACATCATGCAAGAGGCTGGACACCATCGAGGAGTCAGCCGTGGACCCTCAAGGTCTGAAGTTAATGTGCAAGAGGTTGGACACCATCGAGGAGTCAGCCGTCATGGACCCTCAAGGTCTGAAGGAAATGTGCAAGAGACTGGACGCCACCGAGGAGTCAGTCATGGTTATGGACCTGAACGACGTCAAGTTCAAGGTCATCGAACAGTACCAAGTGGTCTGCGAGATCAATCTCAAAGACGATGTCATCGGCAAGATGATGGATCACCCTTGGAAAGAGTTCCAATGGGAGTGCAACAGTATGAGATGAGACGACAGATGCCACGTGAGGCAAGTCGGCAACCACAAGGTGGAGTACAAGGTTGTAGCACAAGAACCTTTGTGGACGATGTCAATCAACAAGGAAGAGATGAGCGTGATGAGCTCAAGCGGGCTTTGGAGCAATCAATGGTTGAAGAGCTTCACAGACAGAAGCTTGAGATGGAGAAACAAAAGGAAGAGATGAAGAAGTATGCTGAGGACTTGCAACGCCAGCGTGATGAGTTTGAAAAGAAGAATGAGGAGTTGCAGAAGGAGCTCAAGAAGAAGAGTTCAAGCGTGGAACCACCAAGGACACCACCGCGCCGACCTCAGTACTACTCGCTGTCACCAAGAACAACACCTGGAGGAACTCAAGTTCCGCCGGGACAACCACCATTGGAGGTAGCAGATCTTCCAGAACTTCCACCATGGCAGTTTGACCCATTTGCAGTTGATGAGCACGTGGGTGGTGGAACAGGTTTTGATGGTTTGGAGGATTTTTGGACTCCAGTGGATCAACAGTCACAACAGCAGCATCATCTTCAACCTGGAGCAGATCGTTTTGCATGGTTGGACAGAGAGGTCAGGATGATGCATGGAGAAAGACCAAGGTTGACAGGTGAGTACTGGGAGCAACCGGTGCACAGGCATGGTGGTCCACCAGCGGACTTTGGCTATGTTCCGCAACCACCACCACAACCGCCTCAAGGACATGGAGTTGGACCTTATGGTGTACCAATGTATGCAGCACCAATGTCATATGGTTCAGTGCCACTGCAATGGCAACAACCTCAACCACAAGCAAAAGGTCCTGATGGCGAAGCTTCTGAGGTGCTGAGAAATGTGCCGATTACACTGCCAATTTTGAAGGACGTGTCAGAGCCTCAAGCTGCCCTTCGTGCAGGAGATTGGTTAAGTGAGTTGATGCCGCTGATCTCAGATGTCTCAGAAGGCGCAAGAGTGTGGTGGACCGGACTAGTACAACGAGCTCAAGATGCCTATGCCACATGGCTGACAGCAGGTCCAATGGATCGCATGGCTGTGCAACCTGACCTTCAAGTGGAGAACAAGTATGTCAGGTTGGAGTCTCGCGTGCTGTCAATGTTGTTAGCTGCAGTGCCACAGACGGTCAAACAAGAAGCAATCTCTTTGCGAGAGATGACATGCGTGCAGCTGGTGTTTCGCATCTTGAAGCTGTATCAACCTGGTGGTCTCAACGAGAAAAGCACCATCCTCAACAACTTGACTCAAACAACAGCAGCCAAATCTGCAGCTGAAGCTGGTGAGATGCTACGCCAATGGCGACGTCAACTCCTGCGAGCTCGTGAACTTGGACTACAGGTTCCAGATCCCTTGCTGCAGGTGAGTGCACTTTCTGAAGTGATGCGGACAGTGATTGCGAAGGAGCATCAAGCGAGCTTTCGCATCAGCAACTTCCGCATGACCCATATGGTGGATGTGGCGCCTACACAGCTTACAGCGGAGAACTATCTGCAGATGTTGATCGCCGAAGCGGATCACTTGCACCATGGAACAATGACGAAGGCAAGTCCGACTTCAGGCAATCCCAAGATCAATGTGGTCAATGCTGCTGGCGACAAGGGTGGTGGCAAGAAGGGATCTCCTGGTAAGAAAGGCTATGGCAACAATGCAGAAGGCAGCGGTTATGGTGCAGGAGCTGGAGCATGCAAGCATTGGGGTAAACCTTATGGATGTCTCAAGGGTGACAAATGCACCTATGCCCACGAGTGGAACAACCTCAACGACAAGGAGAAGAGATGTTGGAAGTGTTCCAGTTTGGAACACATTGCAAAAGACTGCACGGCTGGTGACAAGCTTATGACAAGTCCAGGTGACAAAAGCTCCAAAGGAAGCCCTAAAGGCAAGGGAAAGACAAAGGATGGCAAGAACGACAAGGGCAAAGGCAAGGACCGGGACAAGCCGGTCGGGGGAGTGGATCAGTCTTCAAAGGATTCACAGCCTCAAGTTGCCCAGATACAACAGCAACCTCAAGTTGCCCAGATACAACAGCAACCTCAAGTTGCTCAGACACAACAGCAACCTCAAGTTGCTCAGGTACAACAGCAGCCTCAAGTTGCTCAAGTACAACAACAAGTTCAGCCCTCAGTCATGGGTGAAGTGGCCAGTCTTTTGAAGACAATGCGAACAACGTCAACGACTCCAAGGGTGTTGGCGGTGGTGACTGACAGCAATCAGGGTGTGCTATTGGACTCAGGGGCCACGCATATCCTTAGAGGACCCTATGATGAGACTGAGTGGATGCAGGCGATCCCAACAGAGGTACAAACGGCAACTGGAAAAACACAGTTGAGAATGTCGAAGATGAGCAGATCGTTGTTGACAAAGGATGATCTGCAGCCAATTGTGCCTTTGGGAATGTTGACTCAGCATGGATGCAAGATGAGGTGGCATCGCGATGGGTGCGCTCTCACACATGGCAAGCTGGGTGAAGTGAAAGTCACAGTTCGTGACAATTGTCCCTACGTGACCAATGATGTGGGGATGAAGCTCATTCGAGAACTGGAAACCGCTGAGAAGAACAAGCAGTTGATGTTGCGAAGTTTGGAAGTCACAGGTTGGAAACAGGAAGACAAGGACATGGCCGACAAGCTCAAGAAGTTGTTTCCTGAAACACCTGTGGAGTTGTTGCAACCGATGGTGAGCAAAGCTGGTGATGAGGCTCGATT